AATGTACAAAGCCTTAATTACACTTGTTTATTATATATAAAATTTTAGTAATTATTATAACTTTATGTTTTCGTAATCTATTTTTTATTTACATTATCTTCAATAACATTAATCTGCTTCATCATCTATCATCTTCTATTAGTTTTGTCACCTTTGTAGTTTCATCAGTTTTTTTTACCTTTTGTCACCTTTTGTCAGTTTCGACACCTTTTGGCAATTTCGACATTTCGACATTTGAGATTTTAATTGACGAAAGTCGAAACTAGGTTTCGACTTTCGTCAGCGCGAAACCTTGAGGTTTCGTCTAACAACTATAGTGCCAGGCTCGTGGCGCAACAAAAATTCTTTAAAGTTCGTTTACGCTAGGGTTAGGGTTGGGTTAGAAGTTAAGAGGAAGTAAAATTGTCCAACAAAACCTTTAGTTAGAACATAATTTCGAGAAATAGCGATTTTTAACAAAACGAACATTTTCTCGATCCGTGTTATGTTACACCTAATCTTGAAATCTGATTTGTAGTTAAGGAAATCTGCAAGAATTGCTAATGCGCATGGTATATCTCTATGAAGAACTCATTACGATGATTGATTCAAGAACTCTTAAATATATAGATAACAATATCAAAGACTCTGATAGGCAATTTCAGCAACAGCTAGTGCTGCTTTTTTTAAATTATATAAATGTTTCTGAAGAACCAAATTGCTTATTAATTAGATTGAAGCTTTAATTAACGATTATGACAAAGATTCATTTAAAAAATTATTAAAGTATCAGGGATAGCCAATATTTGCACATTTAATTGATTTTTTCTACGAAAATGGAATTAGTGTTAACTTTAATACACAGAAAGCTTAAGATGTATGAACAAGCTAAAAAATATGAAAGCAATATTAAAGGCAAACCAAATAGCATTATGTCTTTAAAACCAATACTGTATATAGAATTACAAAATTCACTGAGACTTTTGCATATAATGTTTTTGGAAACTTTATAAAAATGGAGTTCGAATTACTAAAAGTGATGAAAAGGCATTCCAATTGTATATGAAATCTGCAGAACATAGAAATCAATATGCACAAAATAATTAATAGTTATCAGGGAGTGGTCTGGTCATTAATCATGTTACTCATATTAACTATGTAAATTATTATTATTTCATAAAGTTTAGTTTAATGATTATGTGGTTTCTTTCTCTGGTTTGTTTGTTTGTTTTTTTCTTTTTTTTTACATAGAGACTTTTTGACATGAATTAAAACAATCGTCAAGATAACATTAAAAAAAAAAAGAAGATATATACTGTATCTAAAAAAAGAAATATTAAAATTCCGAACCATGGAATAAACATTGATATACCGTGATATAGTATTAATATGGGTAACATAATCAATAGTAACTGCCGGATAATGTTGGATATTGTTTTCAAAATAGAATTGGAACTATTAAAGATGAAGAAAAAGCTTTCCATTGGTATTTTAAATCTGCAAAAAATGACAATCCTAGTACGCAAAATGAACTTGGATATTGTTATCAAAATGGAATTGGAATTACCAAGATAAAAAAAAGGCATTCTATATATTAGTATAAGAAATCGGCCAAAAGTGGAAATCCTAATGCACAAATAATCTTGGATATTGTTATGAAAATGGAATTGGAACTACCAAAAATGAAGAAAAGGCATTCCAATAGTATATAAAATCTGCTGAAAATGAAAATCCTAATGCGCAAAATAACATTGGGTATTATTATCAAAATGGCATTAGTACTATGAATAATGATGAACAAACATTTCTAAAGTATTTGAAGTCAGCTGAAAGAGTAAATTCCCTTGCGCAAAACAATGTTACAAAAATAATTGGTACTGCAAAAAATGAACAAAAAGCATTTGAATGGTATTCGATGTCAGCTAAAAGAGGAAATTCTCTTGCGCAGCGCGGACTTGGAGATTGTTATCAATATGAAATTGGAACTATAAAAAATGAAGAAGCATTCCAATGGTATAAAAAGTCTGCAGAAAATGGAAATTCTAATTGTCAAAATAGTCTTGGATATTGTTATTGATATGGAGTTGGAATTATTATGAATGAGGAAGAAGCATTCAAATGGTACAAGAAATCTGCAGAAAATGGAAATTCTTATGTTCAAAATAGTCTTGGATATTGTTATCAATATGGAATTAGAACAACTGTAAATGAGAATGAAGCATTCCAATAGTGCAAAAAGTCTGCAGAAAATGGGTATTCTTGTGCGCAAAATGGTCTTGGATATTGCTACAGATAGACCTCTCTAAATGCACCCTCTATAAGTGCACTCCCTCTATATATGCACCCTTTAGCACAGTCCCGAGCTTGGGACTTAGACCCTAAATGCACCCTCTATATTCTGCACGTGCAAGACTCGTGCAAGTACAGGTTTGGCCCCGATATATGTAAGTTATTCCTTTAAATGCACGTCACGTGATTTTATAATCGGGTAAATTTTAGTGTATAGAAATTAGACGATCTATGCATAAATAATTGCGCAATCTGAACTTTTCTTTTTTTGGTTAATCATTTTAAAATTATCATTACATCAAATCGCTTATTTTATTTCAAGTAAAAAAATCACAATGCACAGATATCGCCAATAATTAGTGCATAACTATACAATTTAAGAAATGTAACGCCATCAATAGAAAATCATTAATTGCTTTAACAAAATCATTAATTGCTTTAACGCCATCAATAAAGAATCAAGTAAACGATTATGAGAAAAAAACTGATCACTTGCGCTATCTCTAATAAAAAAGTCACTATGCATATGAATTTCCCCTTTCAATAAATTCTTATCTGTTTATGTCGCTACTGTAGATTCTTAGAACCATTACATGGGCGTTATTATTTCAAGCTATGACTTGAATTAAGTTTAATTCAGACATAACTTGCAATAACGCCTATCATAAAGTCAACATAAAACCAACCCAAATTGATATGCTCTATTCAAAAAAAAAATAAACCAAAATTATACCTGTTTTAAACCTCGGCACGATGATGCCTTTATCTTTATTAAATAATGCCTATTTGTGTATGGCTTTAGAGATCAGATTATTTTCTATCAAGAAATTTTTAATAAGTGAAAATCGATTACCAGCTGCAGGAGTGATTGCTATCGATTTATATTGATTACAATCAATTGCAATCAATTATTTTTTAATTGATTATGATCAATATAAAATTTAAAACAATCACTGGTAATCGATATCTATTCTTTAAACTTTCCTGATATCTATCAAGACCAATTTCAAATTCATTAAGTTTTCTAGTCCTTAGCAAGTTGCTAAAAGCTTGATAACATTCTCAAACATTATGACCTATAAGCTGAACTTAGATTCGCTTAAAGTTAATCAGGTATAATCGTGCTCGTTTTCAAGGGGTTTAATTTCCAAAATAGTGCTTGTCTATTTTTTTATAAAAAAAAAAATTTGTAACTGATATAAATGGATAATGAATAAATAGATCCTAAAAGGATTATTTCTTTCGTATAACTTTGCCTGTTTAATATTCTTTGACTATCAATTAACCTAAAATTTTATGTTTTCTATACAAAAAATCTCTCTTAATGATGCCCAAAAGCGTGAGTTTTGTATTTATGCTCGCGATAACAAAATGACTCGTGCAAAATACATAGATTGGATTGAAACAAAGTAGAATGTTAGAGTTCATGAATCCACTATAATACGAATTTTGCAAAATAAAAATAAATGGCTTACCACTGAAATTATTAAACCTGAAAAAAAAAGAAATAGAGCTGTTACGATTCCGGCACTTGAGCTTACACTTAACGAATTTATACTAACCTATCAACATAGAACAATTTTAAGTGATGCAATGTTAATCGAAAAAGCTAAATTACTTGCTAGTGAGTTGGGAGTTTCTAAAGACACGTTGCAGTTTTCCTCAGGTTGGCTTCACAAATTCAAGGAATGTAATGGAATTCATAATGAAAAACTTCATAGTGAAGCAGAATCTGCTGATAATATAGCTATTAATCAATCTCTTCCATCATTACGAAGCAAAAGTGCCAACTATCCTCCAGAACGAATTTATAATATGGACGAAACTGCTCTTTTTTATCAGTTGGAACCCGATCATTCATTAGCTACTCAATGTCTTTCTGGACATAAAAAAATAAAGAACGAATTACTGTTGCTTTGTGTGCAAATTCGGATGGTTCACATAAGTTAAATCCTTTGATTATTGGAAAATTTCAACGACCACGATGCTTTAAAAATATTAAAATTTCCAATTTGAAAATGACTTACCGAAATAGCGCTAAAGCTTGGATGATAACGAGCATTTTTCAAGAATGGCTTCGTGATTTTGATTCATTAATAAAAAAAAAAATATAAAGATCAAAAAGTTTTATTATTTCTTGATAACTGCTCAAGTCACAAAACAACAGGTTTAACTCTTTAGCACGTAGAAATCTGTTTTTTACCCAAAAATACAATCTCAAAGATCCAACTGATAGATGCTGGAATCATTATGTCATTTAAAAGAAATTATCGTCGCTATCATATTCAATGGATGCTTAAGCAAGTTGAAAATGGCATGAATGCTCAAGACCTAAAGATGGATATTTTACAAGCCATTAAATATATAATCCAAGGCTGGAATGAAGTTATAGCTACAATGATCAAAAACTGCTAGCGCCATACTAACCTTATTTCTTATTGGGATAATCCTGCAAATAGTGAAGAAAGTGAAGATGAAGTCTCGCTTGAAGATCCGTTGCTTGAAGAACTTTCTAAAAATATTGAAGACCTTAATTTTTCAAACCCTATGCGAGTAGAAGAGTACTTGAATAATCCTGACGAAGATATTGTTTACAAAATACCTGACGATGATCAAATTATTTCAGACCTTGTCAAAACATTTGGAGAAAGATCTGGCAAAATAGAAAATAATCTCGAAGAAGTAGACGATAGTGTTGAAGAAGAAATCATAAGTCCGAATGACGCTTTGAAAAGCCTAGAAAATATACACACTTTCTTGTTTCAGCAAGAAAGTGCAAGCGAATGTATAAATCTGGTTAGTGTTATTGAAAAATTCATCAATGTAAAAAAAAAAGATTCGATGAAGCAATCTACGATCAGTCGATATTTTAATGAAGTATTACAATCGACAGATCAAGATGATTGGATGAAAATTTTTGCTTAATATGTATTTGATATACCCATACATACCTTCGTTACTATATATATTATTACTTATATTTGATATGTATTCGGTACTACAGTATATCTTATATCGACACAATTAAATAAAAAACGATTATACAGACATATTATAGCGATTTTTTAATAAATTTCTTTAAGTGCACACCCTTTATAAATGCATGCTTTGGCCCAGTCCCGAGGGGTGCATTTAGAGAGGTCTATTTGTATCAATATAGAATTGGTACTGTTAAAGATGAACAAGAAGCATTACTATGGTATAAAAGATCTGCTAAACAAGGAGTTATTGGTGAACAGAATAATCTTAAAAATTATGAAAATGGAATTGGTACTATAATAAATGAACAAGAAGCATTACAATGGGACATTAAGGCTACTGAAAAAGAAAAGCAGAAGCTATTTGAGTGGCATATAATTTCTGCTAAAAATGGAGAACTCAAGGGACAAAATGAAGTTGGATACATTAAAAAATAATTAGGAAGCATTTCAATAGTATAAAAAATCTGCAGAAGAAGGCAATTCAGATGGTCAAAATAATCTTGGATACTGTTATCTGGGTGGAATTGGAACTATTAAAAATGAGCAAGAAGCATTTCGATGGTGCAAAAAATCTGCAAAAGGAGGCAACCCAGACAGACAAAATCGCCCTGGATATTGTTATGAAAATGGGATTAGGACAATTAAAAATGAGCAAAAGGTATTTAAGTTGTATAAAAGGCCTGCTGAAAGTGAAAATCCTAGTGGACTACTTAATATACTTAATACTTTATTATAAAAATTTTTCAGATAAATTTAGAGTCAGTCAAAAGCTAAGATTAAAGAAGATTTTTGAGGTAAAAAGATTTTTTACTTAAAGCATCAAATACCAATTGAATTATAGCTATAGTGCATTTTATTAAATATCAGCAAGTACTTTTTTATATATAAAATTTATGTAGCTCTATATATAAAGTATATAAATTAGAGATGGGCACCATGCGCATGAATGCATGCATGCGTGCATGCGCATTATTTATACAATTTTATGCTAATATGCCCATACAAGATTAATATAACTATCTTTTTTACAGATTAAATATTTTATAACTCAGCAACTACAAAGTTAAATTTGATAAACTTTTTTTTATTTGAATTTTATGAATTCATAGAATTCAAATAAAAAAAAGATTTATTAAAATTG